GACAATTTATTCAAACTACTCTATTGCGAGCGAAGATATTAGCCTTTGAAGGTTTGACAAGACGCGTGCAATAATTTCAACCACTGTACTGGTTGTTCGAAGCTAAGTCTCGCTCCTCCATTTTTAGATTAAATCAAAATATGGCTGAACCGTTCTAATCTATTTAATATCGGAGAAATCCGATGCCATCGAGAGTTGATTATGGCCTGGATCAGTTAATTAATTTCTAATTAATAATTTAGAAAACATTTCAGGCCTAAAGAAAGACCTGCAATAGGCAGATTTAGCTCTTGCATAATGTATGTTTGAACTAAACAAAACGTTTGAAAAATCCAACATGGCGATAATTCAAAATGGCGGCCAGAATTTCCATAACATGAATGACTGTTATATATAGCTTATAATATCTCTTTTATAAAGTTTTCAGAGTCACTGAACTTGAATAAAAACTCAAAAATTAATGCTGAAAACGATGTTAATGATAATGCTAAAAATGACACATCAACAAACTGACTGTAAATGCATTTTCAATAGAAGACTTGATCTCGCCTTAACTACGTACATCTTATCAAGCCCTTCACGTAATACCCCGCATATTTTAGCACTAATTTCGATTGGGTATAAGCCCAACTTGTGATCCTATCAGATTCCTTCGTTAAAAATATGGTTACGATTATCAAGTCTCGCGCTTCTAGCTAAAATGTCTACATGTTACAATCGAGTTGCAAAGTTCAAGGTTCGATCAATGTCAAAGTTGCTGGAAATCAAGGTTGATCAACAAAGGCTGTAAACTTGTCTATTTCTTTTTCTATGGAGGCCGCCATATTTGTTTACAGTGTGTTATGTGCCACGACCTCTGATTGGACAATGCTAATTAGTCGCGTGCAAACACAACGAGCGCAAAAATTCGTGAATTGTTGAGTATTGAAGCAACGGCTAGATGTTTTAAAACTCGCGGTCGTTGCTTCAGGAACATGCTGTAAATGGTACTTCCTAGAGTATATCCTGGTGTTTTTAGCTTATGCATATATCTTAGCAATTCATTAAAAACGACGTAAATTCATGACAAGGCAAGAACTTTGGCTACTTTAGGGACCCCCGAAACTACTATACTCCTTTTGAGTGTCTATCCTTGAAAAGGGAGGCGAAAGGTATGATGTTAAAACGGGTTTCAAATCCCACATTACTTGAATACTTTAATTATCAGTAAAAATACGCCATATAAAATGATAATTCGTATATTATATAAAAAAAATGTTTCCTTTTTATCCAATAAACAATTTATTGTTAGGTCATGTAGAAAGATATGGTGCTTAAATGTGTTGCAAATTTCCGTATTACACAACTTACCATATAAACAATTGGTATTTATTTTGCAAGTATAAAAAATGTTTCCGTTTTATCGAATGAACAATTTATTGTTAATTCGCGTAGAAAGATATGATGTTAAACATGTTACAAATTAACAACTGGTATATTAGTCGAGTATTTTACAGCTACAAGAAAGTTTACGTTTAATCGAAAATTCCAATAAACAATTTATTTTTTAGGTTGAAGGGAGTATCCTACAGGTGGTAGACCATATTTAATGCTGCTGGAATGTGTATTTTCATAAACTTTGTATGTAGATAGATTATTATACTGAAGGTCCGTCTGGATAGAAAATAAGATTTTGTGTGAAACAGGTGTCCTGGAAAAAATGGGTTCACTAACATCAAATATCTTGTTCTACAAATTGTATTTGTCCCTTCTAAGCTAATACCTGTGCGGAACAAACCTTTCCGTTTCATCGAAAATCCTAATAAATAATTTATTTTTAGAGAACAATTTTAAATTCAGTGGCTACGAAAACCCTATATTATATGATATATCACAAGTCTTACCTTGCGTGATACCCACCCATCCTAACTAGAATTTCGTTTTTCGTTAAATGTTGGCGTCCATTTTGGAAATCGGACAGGACCCCGACCGAAAATGACGTCACAGAAGTGACATAATCTCAAAATTGTCTTCAGGGACAAATTTTGACACAGAAAAAACCTGTCCCCAAATATCGTTTTGATTGTGACACATTAGCTAAACGTTCACTAAGTTGGTGCCCTGCCTCGCCGACGTTCAACATTTTAAATTTGACAGTCTACTTAAGACTTTTGTTGAGTTTGAGGCCACTGCAGCTGTACAGGGAGGACCACTGGGCGTATTTATTTATGCTAAATGAATAACTTAAGAAGACCATACACATAATTTGGCTAAAATTACTCTAAACATGATTTGGTAGTAAACTTATAAAATAAATCAAATGTCAAAAGGTTGCTTTTTCCAGAATAATCTGTTGATTTGGAAAATATATGATTCATTCAACAACAAGTATCATATAGCACCAAATGTAACATTTTCTTATGAACATGCCATATCCATAGGTCAACCTGTTCAGGAGTTACCAATGTTTCTCCGATGCGCTTAATTTCAATGAAATAACGGCGGCCATTTTTAAAGATGACCGCCGAAATGGAATTTAGCAAAGTGACCCGGAAGTCCATCAACCAAATTTCAACACTTCAGCCACCAGGGTAACTGATAATCATGGTTGAATTTATTCATCAAATTGGTAATGATGCTCCAAATCCCCAGGTCTGCCACATGGACTAAAGTGGCAACGTTCATAATTACAGACCTGAGGTCATTGAAGCCATAAATAATGACTTTTACGTGTATGACTTCCTCAAATCAGTGAATAGTGAAGGTGAAGCCATTGATTTGGTTCGTGAAGTATGTGATCTTTTGAAAAGAAGTGGTTTTAATTTAACCAAGTGGGTTTCTAACAGCAGAGAATTCCTTAACACCATCCCACATATCTCTAAAGTGAATGAAGTTAAAAACTTAGATCTTACTAAGGGTAGTTTACCAGTGAAGAGAGCTTTAGGCGTGCAATGGTGCACTGAAACAAACAAATTAAAATTATGTATATCAGAAATGGAGTCAACTACTACACGTCGAAACATCGTATCTGCAATGAGCTCTGTTTACGATCTCTATCGTATTTGTTCCCCATTTGTGTAGGAATGACTTTGCCTGTGAATGATAGTCACTATTGGACAGATAGTCAACTTATTAAGATAATAAGAAAGCTCGTTACCAAGTCTATGTGGCTAATATTATCGCAATAATTCGTGATGGCTCATCGATTCTTGCTCAAGAGATCTAACCACTGCAGAACTAACCTCCACAAAGTGGCTAAAGGGATCAACTGTTCTCTGGAAGACTAAAAGTAATTGGCCGGAAAACTGTATAGAATTAGAAAACCGTTCCGATTTGGAAAGAACTGTTTATGCTGTAAAATTATCGGAACAATAAAAAAAAATGTGTCAGACAGTTATTCGAACATTATTCAAACTATAATCGCTTAAAGAGAGGTGTCGCTTGGTGGCTTAGATTGAATAACATTTTGTATTTGTTAAGCAAGAAACGTGAAATACTCAAAAGAAAAACTTATCGGCATTTTAGAATCAACTGAAATCGAAACTGCTGAAAGTGACGTATTCAAATTTGTACTAAGAGAATATTTTCCCAGTGAGTTAGAAGCTTGTGAAAAAGACAAAGTTGTAAATGTTGGTAGTGACATTTCAAATTTGAAACTTTAACCGCCACAATTTATGCGTGTTTCTGCTATTCTAGACCGTGAATTAAGCAACTTCAAAGTTTCCAATCTGTTTGCAACTGAAATCCCACCCTATGCCGAACTTAATTCCAACCATACAATCACACTTGCAGCTGCATTCACAAATAATAATCGATTCCCGAAAAATGTTGAACAAAGTAGAGTGGCTCCAGACACACCGAGCCAACATTGGACAGGGTGGATATTAAATCCCCCTGCCCACACTAAAATGTGGTCATGTATTCTCATAATCCCTGTCTGTCCGTCGCCCGGCGTCAAGAATTGCTTGTGGGCGCTCTAGAGGCTAAAGTTATCATCCTATCAATTTATGCACAGTGTTTATGTCTATGTGAAGAAGACGCCTATTCATTTTCAACGTTTTCGAATAATAACCGCCAGGTTATGATCTTACTTGTGCGCGCTCTAGATTTAAATTTATGATCAGTGTTTGAGTTCACGAGACAAAGAACCCCTTTAATTTTCAACAATTTCCGATAATTGCCGTCGGCTTTATTAACCTTGATCAATTTGAAAAAAAACCTTGTGGAACCCCGCGAGGTCAAAGTTATCATCCGATTGACCTGATATTTATATGCAGTGCTTATGTTCATTGGGTGAAGAAGCTGATAATTATTTTTGGGAGTTATTACCCTGATCATTTTTTAAACACGTGGTTTTTGTTAACAAATAGCTATACATGGTATGCAGGCTATTTAACAACAGAAGAAAAAATAAATTAATAAAAATGCCCCATTTCGGGTTAACTGAAGGTTTAGATTACGTAAGAATACCTAACAAATTCACATTTAGCTATTTTAGCCACCTTCGCCGTCCCCGAATCGATTCAACTTGTATCTCAATTTCCCAACATGTTATAACATGGCTATAAACATGTATTTCGAAACTGCAATGTTTACTTTACATCAGCCGTGATCTAGATATCTATAATAAAATATGACTATCCTGAACCACCCATAACCTTTGAGCAGCAAATATTGAACAGCTAAAGTAAATATACTTAAAAGATAACGAACCTGTTTACTTCATATCGAACCTGTCGTACCTTGGTTCAATTTTCACAGTTAACAAAAGCCAAGACATTTAACACTGAAGTCAACGGAGGACAGAACTATCCGATTCTTTGTAGTTAAAATTTCCCTTACGTATATAAATATTACAGTCAATTTTATTTATTTCTAATATAACCACTTTTCTGCAACTGGTATTTACGAATGAGTTGTATGACCTAATTATAACTTTATTAGACCAGTGCTGTAAATAAATGTGATAATTATTCTCCATTATCACATAATGAAACATGGTATTTGTTCATAGTTTATTTTCTCTGTATAGTTGACATATTAGGTACTATTATCTTCTCGTGCCCCGTTTCAACGACTGTAGAGGATATTGTTATCAGTTAACTTTGTCAATATTTACCGATCATGTCAAGGTTTTATATTTTCTTTATTAATATACAACATTAAGATATAAGGTGTAGCTCTTAACGACTGATAATAACTATGTGAAAGACTTCCTCTTTGTGAAGTATAAGATTTCTTATTAAATGTTTAGATGCGGCGATAGATGAATATATTCCAGTCAAATTCTGAGCGAATTTTTGAATATTTGAAGTTTTGACTAGCAATAGCATAAAAAGTCTCGATAATAAACCACGATAAAAAAAAAATGAAGTCTAATTATCCCGTGCTTTAATCGACAGTCTCCGTGAGTGGCGTCCATTTTACGTTTGACGAAGGTATGGTTGGCAGGGTCTAATCTACTCAATATCGTGGCCATTCAATGGTGTACAAGTTGACTATATGCTGGCCATGTGAATAAATATCTAAATAATAATTTATATAAATTTTGAAGAAAAGAGACCCGCAATGGACATATTTGTTTTAACGCTTCACATGTGAGATAAACACCCTGGTTTATGTTGACAAAGGAAACCACCTTAAAGAAATTCTCCTTCTAATGACCTTGATCTTTCTTTCACATCGAATGTCTTCTCTCTAATTTTACATTTCCAGTATAACCTTGGGAGTCATGGACTAATGCTGCCTGGGAAAATTTTAATAATTCAAAACAAAGATTTACAAGATAAATAGTCATATATGCCAATCATTTTCAAAATTATCTATAATAGCGAGGCCCGTCAGCTCTATATTTAATCTTGCTTAATGCCGCTTTAAGTTGGGTCAAACAGATAATATGTTCATATTCTTATTGTACCGCCCCATCAACACAATCTAATCGTAATAATAATAAAAAAAACATCCAAACACCCCAAAATGTGTAACTTAATTGAAACACTGAGAAATGTACAAGTGTAATAAAATATTAAAAGATAACTTGTAAGATCAGTTTTCATATTGAACCGGACGTATAAACATTATAACCCGCTATTAGCTTATCCGCTGAATTTTGAAAAATCGATGCAAAAAGTTAAAGTGTCACGTCTCCCGTTTTGTTTTAAGTAAACAACATATAGTATCAAGTGGTATTTACTATTATTGTAATAATATCTAACAATTATAGTTATGTCACGGTAAGAAAAATCCAGAGAAAATAAGTACTAAAACCTATTGGCCGTCGCAGGAAATGTGTAAATTTATACACCAAAATGAAATTTGCGAGGGTTTATTACCTATTCCTAAATTAAGTTTGTACACAATACGTAATTTATTGATCAATAGAAACACCCCAAGTGGTATTTTTTAAATATTTAATTTGAATGATAAAAGTTTGTGCATGGCTTTGAATCTAACACGGTTTTACTATTATTATCGGTTTGATTTATCTCTCAAATATTAGTTAATGCACGGCTATAAAATTTGTTTATATTTGCCTAAACTTCGTATTTAAGCTAGTCGCATGATCAATGAAATATAAATAAAACCCGAGGTTAGTTCACTGACAGATAACAGTATTATTGTCAACGATTATTAACTGTTTAACTGGCAACAGACTTACGAAATATGGGCTCGAAATACAAAGAAATTTTTCCGAGATTCAACAGTTTTGTCCAAAACTGCAGACCAGTTAAAGGAGGTGGTGATTTTTTTATTTGGGTCGATTCGGCCTTTATTAATTGGTGTTTATTTGATCTTTTAAAATGTGAACTAACATATAAACAAAATGGTATTGTCGTAATTTGGTTGATCACCCAATAATACATTCTACAGTAGATATCGCTTGTGTGATATATGTCATAATCTACTGCGATATCTCCTAAGGAGATATCGCTTTACATGAATTTGATTGGTTTGTTGAAAAAGAACTACTTTTTTTTATTTTCAAAGAACAGTTCATTTCTTATTAAAAGTAACTTTTTTTTATTAAAAATGGACTATTGTTATTCAATTGACCTTGATGGAAACACTGGGTCAATATAAAGGACTTTGCAATGGTTGAATTGCCGTCAAAAAATGATGTATCACAACGCCGTAATGTTCAGTAAAAGTGAAATCTACAGCAAAGAACTATATTTATCTATTTGTGCATGTAAGAAGGGATTGGGTGATAAATAAAATCTCCTACTCGTCTTTTTTAAATCAAAAAATATCAACACTCGTTGATAAAGTAAAAAAAACCTCGGCAGAGCCTCGTTTTTTGTTACTTTATCAACTTGTGTTGATATTTTTTGATATCAAAAAAGACTGGAAGGAGATTCTATATATGTTCCATCTGACTTTCAATGGGTTTTTTTTTCGGTTTCACAGTTTGGTTTTTCAGAAGTTTGTCCTGGAATTGAAATTTAAGGATTTTGTTGTTTACTGTTGGCATTAACATAATATCCAATGCATTTAGCTATATATACCCTGCACTTCTGAGCACGAATTTACCAATGTCACCAAACATACTTTTAGATGATAATAGGGCGTCCATATTACTAAATTCGGTTGGGTCTGGATATGTCCAATGTAAACTTAATGTCTCGTTTTTCCAGTTAAAATCCAGACCATCCAAATGACTCTTTTCTTTAAAACCTTGCAACCAACTTGGATGACATTTTCCTTCTGCGCATATCACTTGCAAATGCGGTTCCACTCGCACCAATTCAGGATGCAATTCATAGATCTTATAAGGAATGTGTATGGCATTATATGACCAATGTTTATCCAAGTAGTGCCTGTATGACTCTAAAAAGAATTGCATAAATCTGGACCCCTTTTGACCAATTAAAACACCCATATTAAATACATCTGGAAACGATCCGGTGGTTACCGTGTCGACACTGACAACAAGACCGAACTGTCTGAGTGTATCCGGAATAGTGTTCACCCACAAAACGTCCCAATCCATATAGATACCGCCATACCGAACCAGCAGATCACCTCTTAAGAAGTCACTAGCATGAGAAGCAAATGCTTCTATCTTGTTGCCGAACACAGAAGCGGGGAATTTTCGAAATATAAAGTGAACATTTGGTATTTGTTCTGCTTTCGTCCAATGTGGGCCACTTGGTTTAATATCACCGTGAATATAAACACGTTCAGCTTTTAAAACATAAACGGCACTTAACAGACTTAGATAATCGAAGAAGGTCAGAGCTCGGTCCCCTAGCCATACATAGTGCACGATCAAGGGTGATTGTTCTCCATAGGTTTGTGGTTCCCGAGAATTTTTGTGACCAAAATATATCCATCGTACCAGTTGCCCAACATCCGAACTTGTAGTGAATATATCAGCTGGAAATATTTCCTTTTCTATAAACAAGCAATCATATCTCGACACAGAGTAGAGTTCGGTATTTATACACTTTATGTCAGATATAAAGGATGATAGTATGTCTTTAATGTCATCACTTGAGGGTTTAGAATTGATTCCCAAAGAACCTTTCTTTAGCAATACCAGACCCTCTGCGTCACTTTTCAAGAAATGCGAGATTGTCTTTTTTCTGTAAGCGATCAAATCATTTGATAATATGGTTCTCTCACCAACATAAATTCCACCCCTTTGATCTAAAGTGTACAAAATCAGAGCTATTTTGTTGAAGCCTGTTCCACAACTCTGTATTGGTTCGTGTGAAAGAATCGGAATGGTTTTGGTCATCTCTGCATAAAATTGGTAATATCCATAAGAATCTAGTTCTGGTAAATGGTGGTAATGAAATATAATTCTAGTTGGTTTTAGGAATCGGTAAGAACTTAAAACACTTAAATAATTTTCAAAACTGAAATATTTCCTTTCACACCAAAAGTAATGAACGGTAAGTGTAATGTCGGACGACAACAGATGAGGGGGGTCACCTTCTCCGTTAAAACTTTCGTTCGAGATCATATATTCGGGCATTACATTTATGTAGCCGTGTCGGAATCGTTCAACAGATAATGGATCAGAAAACAAAAAGACAGAGCGGCATCCATTGTAGTAGATATATAAATTCAGGAAGGCTAGTATGAGTATGGGAAGGAACAGTATTTTTTCTTTTCTGTGGATGATATATCTGCTCCAACGCCTCCAATTCCTCGTCATGTTCTGAAGAAGAAACAAGCCTTGTTTATATTGCATGCTTCAGGCCGACAAAATGACATGTATTCATGTAAATAGATACAGCCCGATATGCATGACTACGAAGGGTCGATGGTCGATGATGCTCTATTGTGTCCGAAACTGGGAGATTACTACTAATATACTTAAAACGCTCCCTGGTACCATGTATATTGGATATTAGGATCCCATATTTTTTACGGCAAGATAACAAAATCAATTTTGATTGAAATACACCTATATTGAAATATATTTCGTGTTTTAATCTCCATTATTATGGATAATACTGAGTTAGAGTTTTAGTTCCTTGAAATTGATTTTTCAGTACATGTATAACTATTTTTAAAATTATTATAGTGATGGGATGCGTCCTCATTTTGTATAATGATAGCTATGAAGTAACCAGTGATCTAAACTATAACTCGTTCTGTTAGTTTTTCCTCACATTCGATATAAAAACTGAACGGTTATTGTATCAAATGTGAACGGCCTTTAATACATCGTCCAGCAACGGTATAATTATTGCAGATAATTAGAAGGAGGTTATTCTGTGTGTGTGTGTGTGTGTGTGTGTGTGTGTCTGTGTGTGAGGGAGAGAGAGAGAGAGGGGGGGGGGGGGGTAACGTCCACTCGGCACAACATAGTTCATTTCGGGACTAACACATGGTTCAATTTTATTTCAATAATTCGCTTGCGCGCAGCGGTCTTTAACAGTGGGAGAAAACCGGAGGACGCGGAGAAAACCCACGAGGTTGGACAGGCGATCCTTGTCACGTACAACCGAGAAATCAAAACCACGTCAGTTGACTCAATGACAGACCTTATGATACATTCGGCATCCAACCCGGCTAGAAGGCGGGTATTGTATCAAATACATCTAATACTGTTATTTACGAGTACAGCTTATGAATTACTTTTAAAAATATATATATATATATATATATATATTTGGAATCAGCATTATATTCAGATGAACAAAACTAATTATATAAAATTGAATGAAATATTAAATCAGCGTACTATAGTTGCACAACAATGATGAAAAGGGGGAAATATATTGAACATAGATTGACTTGCCTAAGTAATAAGAATACGGTTTGTTTTAATATCTCAATTAACAAAAACATGAAGTTTTCGTGTTTTGACATCCGTATCAACATATAGTTAATGACAAAGTATACTTGGTGTTTTAAAACATGCACAAAATATATTTTCTAAATATGTTACATTTGTTCATAATATTTTTGTTCGTGCGCTTTCTTACGACAACACTATTGTTATTGTTAACTTTTAGAAGAAAAAAAATAACCACGTCCAATCTTTTCGGATAATTGTATATCAAGGTCATTTACAAACTTATTGAACCATAAATGTCTCCACATTTCTCAAATACAATGTTTGAAAACTCCATTAATCTACAAATTTCAGTTTCCACTTATAGTAACATATTAAAGTAGCTACTGTCTGAACCATCGTAAATTTTAAACGGACTTCTTCGATTATGAACAAACTACTTGACTTTGGTTATTATAAATCCATTGTACAACTACATATCCCAGGGAATAAAAAAGTTCTCTCTTGCAAAATTAAACTTGGACATTGAAAAAACAAAAATGGAAGCTAATTACGTCACTTATCGGGATAGATCATTTCGTATAAGGGGGTCTCAACATGGCTTGTCTATCGTAACGGTGTTCGGTTTTTTTTTACGACAATTCAAATTTTGTGTATGAATAAGCTATTGCTCTCGAACCCAGTAATGAGTTTGGGCGTTTACAAATATAAGAGAGAGAGAGAGAGAGAGAGAGAGAGAGAGAGAGGAATGGGGTTTAACGTCCACTCGACACAAACTAGGTCATTTCGGGACTAACATATGGTTCAATTTTATTTCCATAATTCGCTTGCGCGTAGGGGTCTTTTAGCAGTGGGAGGAAACCGGAGGACCCGGAGAAAACCCACGAGGTTGGACAGGCGACCCTACTCCTTGCCACGTACAACTGGGGAATCGAAACCACGCCAGTTGACTCAATGGCAAACTTTATGATACAGTGCGCACGTGCTAACCCCCCATTTATTTTTACAAACATTAATACGCCTGTAGTCCGTTATTTTGTTTCCGTTAGAGAGTTGGGTGGAATTATTTCTTTGGAACACAGGTGCAGAACAAAAAGAACGACATTCCTTTAATATTTCCTGTCAATAATTATTAACCTCGGCAATCTGTTATGGCCGGGGTATATAAATACCAAAAATTATCATCAACAACAAATCATACCACTCATCGGTTTAATTATCGGCAGATAGTTCCATGTCTTTCTATTTCTCTTCGAATATTATTTCCGTTGTGCAAAAACTGTTCAGAATTTTGCGTCTAGGTAACACAATTAATTTCAGAAAATCCCGACTTCGGTTTGAAATTCACAGGGCAATGTATCCATACGATTGTGCTCTCAGTTATAACTACAGGCCTATATTAATCACAAGTACAACTCCATTTTGTAATCCACAGAGAATGGAATTTTCTGATGGCATTTCGTAGATCGAGATCATGCCTCAGCCAATCAACGCTTTGAATTCTATTGTATGCTACACAGATGCAGTGAAAATGGTTAAATTTAGCGCGAAACTTGCCCGAATTTTCCCCACAGTCTGCATAATTAACACACAAGACCCAATAATACACGTACACGCAATTTGCGATGCTCTTTTGACAAGTGATTTTTTGTTTTAAATACATTTTTATAAAGACGATACACGATGTTTAGACATCCCGAACTGTTCTTATCAACAATGTTTCGATTTCAGTATCCGTCGAAGTGACGTATCGTCAAATAAAGTCGTATGAAGATAAGTCACTTCGTTGGAATATGGAAATATGGAAATTATTGAGAAGCGGTGACCTTTTTTCATAGTTTTTGTGGTAATCATAAAACTTTAAAAATGGACTAATAACCACCGAGCATTGGGATTATCAATATGAAATATTATCAATTAAAATTATGAAATAAAGTGTATTTATTTATAAATGCTAGCCACAGAGTTGCATATAATTGACAGGGATGTAGGACCTAATATAATTTATTAAAATATATATAATATACAGGGTATTTACAATTATGGGGTGATGATGATGTGAAAAGCAATATTTACGAGCATTCCTGTAATCGGTGATATATTCATTGTGAATAAAATTGAGTAGACTGACAATCAATTGTTTCCAAATTAATTTTATCGGAGTGGTTATTCGCCATTCGTTTTATATAATAAACCTAACATTCTTGCAGATTGTTTTTGCATTTATTCAAAATACAGACCCAGAATCCCTTTTTAATTGTCATTTGTAGCTTCATAGTGCATATGAACACCTTCGTTCACAGCGAAGCGTCGACAGCGAAACCGACATCGTGTGTAGATGGAAGTAGTACTCTGTGAAATTTTTTATCTTTACTCATACTGCATTGAAAACGTATTTTCTTGCACTATTGTTTATCATAAATTTAGTAGATAAAATACAAACTTAATCTAATTTCATACCTGCGAAACAGCAGAGTCTTATTGAAATTGTTCTACCTGATCTGCCCGCCCGCCTACCACCCGGAGGAGTAAGCTACTCATTATTTCATTGCCAACCGCATGTTCTATCTATATACCATTCGTATATTTCATTTCCTACCACATTTCATTTCCAACTGCGTTTTATATTTCTATTTGTACCTTCGATTTCAAACTAGAGAGAGAGAGAGCTCAATGACATACCTTATGATACAGCGTGCACGTGCTAACCATTGCATTGCCCCTCCCCCCACCCCCGCCGTTTCTTTATTGGCATCCCGTAGTCATTTGCTACTCATAGCCTACATTTCTTTCTCAACCGTGTGTTTTATTGTCAAACATATAATTCATTTACATCTACTCAGTTGGGCGTACCAGCCAGGGATGAGATCGTAATTTCTTAAAATTGACTAAGTGATTAAAATTCGGCATAAAATTTAGAAAATTTAAAGTCAGTTTAATACACAGTGACATTTTTTTCTGGAATCATGAATGTTTGTTTAAGCGACCGGCTTCGAATGCCGCGTCTCTGTGTACTCTAAACGATATATTTTTTAGGCATGGTCATAATTTGTTTCGGCTATTTCCCCTTGTCAGTGGTGCAGGACGGAGGGCTTGACAAGGACAGCTGTGTAGTCGCTCGGATGGGACGAAAAACCGAGTACCCGGGTAAACATTGGGGTATCCGGGCAAAATTTCGCTCATGTGGAACTGGAATGAGAGAGAGTGGGTCATTTCGGGACTAACACATAGGATTCCATTTTTTTTATTTGAATAATTCCCTTGCGCGTGGGGGGTTGGATGGCTGAATGGTTAGCGTGCGCGCGCTGTATCATAAAGTCTGTCATTGAGTCGACTGGCGTGGTTTCGAATCCCCGGTTGTACGTGGCAAGGAGTAGGGTCGCCTGTCCAGCCTCGTGGGTTTTCTCCGGGTCCTCCGGTTTCCTCCCACTGCTAAAGACCCCTACGCGCAAGCGAATTATTGAAATAAAATTAAACCATATGTTAGTCCCGAAATGACCTAGTTTGTGTCGAGTGGACGTTAAACCCCATTTCTCTCTCTCTCTCTCTCCCTTGCGCGTAGGGTTCTTTAGACTTTAGCAGTGATAGGACCCGGAGAAAAACCATGGGGTTGGACAGGCGACCCTACTACTTGTCACATATACAGTTGAATCGAAACCAAGCCGAAACTGACTGAAATTAGAATGTTACAAACTGTTTAAGTTTGACTTGTAACAAATAGCAACTTTTATTCTACTTTGTCTTGGCTTTTTCTTCCTCAGAGAATTATTTCTGGGTCGCTTGTGCGAACAATACATATGAACATTCTAATCCAACACCGGGTATGATCATCAGACTAATTTGCTATCCGGATGACAAAGAGTATTTCGCCATCTGTTTTCGTTATCTGCCGCCCTTTTATTAAATCGATATCC